TGGCCGCATCTGCGAAATTATATAATAATCACGAATTTTTAATTAAAACCAATGTTTTTGCTTCGTTGTTTGTTCCTCTCTCACGTTATCCAGCCGAAAGTGGAACGACGTTCAATTATAATTGAAACGAATTGAAAATGCAATTGAAAGAGAAACCGTGATTCGAACGAAATATTAAATTTCCCAGGTGCATCTCTGTTCTAGAATTTCGTAAACGCGTTTCAGAAGTCGATAACTAATGCAATTTCAGGTTAGCACAACAGCCGACGTCCTACAGGAAGAGGACGAGGAATACAGTCCGAGCATTCAACACGAATTCGTGACTTTCGACCTTGACGAGCCATTACCACCCCCGCCGCCAGTTAGGGGTAGTGACTGGGCCTTCGACACGTTAAGAAAAACAACCCCCGTCTGATATACCGTCAGGTACATTTATTCATCCTATAGTACCCTCAAAATCGTAATTTTATCTGAATTTAATCCAATTTTCAATTAATTCGCACCAGTCTCTGTACACGTTCACCCACTCGAGAGATAAACAATGTTTACACGGTAAATTCGATTCACGAGATCAAACACTACCTGACCAATTTTCACAAACGTTCCAAATACTTCCAAATGGAAAAACTGGTTCTTCTAAATTCGCGATTGGTTAATAAATATATATCTTGAAAAATAAATTTTCAGCTTGGATATTACCGAATTTTCTATCATTTCGATCGAACGAAATAGATTCTTCAATTACGATTTTATTTCCCAATTTTGTAATTACTTTCGTGAACAAAAATTCGAGAATCGAGTATGTCCATGTTCTCTGATCTTGCTCGTGTAACTGCCTTCCTGTCATCCACGTGCAACCACGAATGTATGTAAAATATGGAATAGCTTCAGACGTGCTCGAATAAAGAAACGTTAGAGCTCGGAGTAGAAAGTTTGAGCTGAAAGGTAGGAGACAAAAAGCATTGGATGTGAAATCGCGAACACGTCGCGGATGAAAGTGATCGAGTCATGGTATCAAACGAACGGTTTGTGATTTCCCACGCAGATACGCGAGGCTGGTGCAAAGCGTTGAAAGCGACGAAGAGGACGAAGCGGAAACCGAGGAGGACCACGACATAGCCGGCGATTAAACAAATCGACACGCTTTTTAATGAGGTACCTTGCAACCGAGATCGGGAAGCTTTCATCGTCGAGACTTCGCCGGGAAGCACACGGATGCAGACACGGTGGCAACGGGAGTCGATCGATGGGTTATCGAATTTCGGTTTCAATAACTCGCAGAACTTTTGTCTTAAGGGATGAAATTCCGTCTCCCGTGATCGTGGAAGGGGGAAGAAGTGACCGGGGGGAGAAGCAGAGAACGAATTGCATGATTCATGAATAACGATGAAGTGGAGCAGTATCGATTAACACGTTCGATTTCACAGTTCGTTTTATCGTGTATCTCTTTTCATTTCTTTACTCCGCTTTTCATTTCTCCACTTTTCCATCAAGGAAGATCGAAAGGCGATAACCGGTGACTCGACGAAGATGAAGCACGAACCAAGGTTGAAGAGAAGAAGTCGAGCGGACTTCACCGACTTCCATTCTAATGACTTTAATCAGCTAATCGACTGCCAGCCTCGATCGTTCATCATCACTCGCGTGCGAAAAGTATATGGTAGCTTTGTTAAAACGAACTGACCCATCATCGTTGAAAGAAAGAGAAAGAAAATCGCAGGTTAGAAGAAAGAGCTTAACGATAATTACTTTAACGAGCGTTGAATTTGTATATGGGAATCGTTGGTGCTGATACGTTTACGTGTCCAGTTTTAGCAGGAGAATGTTATACAGAAAAATCTAGAAGTGGAGTACTAAAAAGTATGGGAAAGAAAATTTCATCGGTTGATATCCTGATTGTTAACGAGATAGTAATTCTCTAGTTATTAGGATCATTTGTATTTGTTTCTCTGATAAAGTGTTTACGGGGAAGGCTTAGGGAAAAGGATTTTAGAGGAAAAAGATGTATTTTTTAAAAGACTGTAACGTACATCTGCCATAATTGAAAATAATCGAAACTGCGAATCGATTAATCTATAGCTGCATAAGTATTAGTCTATTTACGCTACTTGACGTGCAAGATTGTATTTTTAATACTATGGAGACTAAGAGGGATTGGAATTTAAATCATCCTCTGACTCCTTTTCTATACTACATGAATTTTTTGAATATTTGTATTTAGCGTTAGTTGGGTATATCTTAAACAACCTTTAATGCGATTGAAATAATTTTAGATCATAGAAGAAGGTCTTCATAGTATTAAAATTAAAATCACAGTAAATCTCTGTCAAAGACTGCAATGCCAATGAAGATATTGATGGATTAGTATTGAAAATAATGGAACAAGATTTCCTGAACCCAATAGCGTACATCCATGAAGGAAAAGAAAGATGAAAAACAAGGAATTGCAATCAAGAATTTCAAAAATTGAACAGTGAGTCGTTAACTGTATCACAAACTTGTTCATAAACTGAACTAATTGAAAGAAATATACTGTACAGAACATATGATATTGTTACATCATTAATATATCTGAGAATTTTTAACACAATTAAATAGTTGATAAGTTTTTTATACAGTAGTCAATTTTCCACCAGAATTTATATGCTGACTTATTGATTAAACGAAGAGGAAAGTTATTATGATCATTGATTAATAGTTAGTCAATTAAAAAATAAATAAAAAGTTTAATTAAAAAATTGATAAAACTATCTGTATAAATCTTGAACTGCGTAACTTTTATTCGCATTTCTTTAACAAGAAAAAACTTATCACTTTAATCTTCATCTTCGTCGTATTCAGTACTGCCACAAACTTTGATAAATAACTTTTCTAATAACAGTTGTCCTTTATCATTTATGAACTTGTTTTCTCCATTTATAAGTGATTTTTATACAGCTTCTCAGTCACATAAAAATTCATATTTCATAGACTACATATGTGCATAAAAGTGAAATAAAAATATACTGCACGCATTCAATTTATATTCAACATGCACATTCAATTCGTATTTACACGAATAATACTTCAGCAAAGATACTTAAAGGAAAGTACAAATATATAATATATCCAGAAACTAATTAATTTAATACAAGAGACAAAACATTGAATTAACACGACACAAACAAAACAAATAAAACACCTTTAATCATAAAATAATATGTTCCTCAATTTTTATGTGACTGGAACGTATATTGGTATTATTGTGATGCAAAGACCTTGATGTTTGTTTCAAACCTATAAAAACTACTTGTAAATAGATTTAATTACAACGCAGTATATAATATTAAATGCATTGATAAGAAAAATTCATTTTATATTGTACATTTGTAATGCTCAGAGTCAAATTAATAAATATGAGACTCAAAGACTTCTTGGTAGTCTTTAATTGAAATAAGCTAAATGGACAATTATCGTCTGACAAAATGAAAGAAAACCTGATTAATGTATTAAATGTAACATTTGCCATTGAAACAAGAAGAAAAAATGTTTCTTAAAATGTTGCTATTGTTTATAAAATAATCCATGTTCACAAGCATGTAATAGAAATTTATTGTTTATGTATTCGATGGTGATAAGCTTGTCTAAACTTTACAATTTGTACAATAAAGTTTCTCCAAATTACATATTCAAATATTTAATAAGATGCCTATCCCATAAAATACACTTAAATTAATAAGTGTACAATATGTCTTTTAAGCCAATCTTACTTGATTTCTTATGCACAATAGTATATGCAATAGAATGCAAGTAAATAGTTGCCTTCATCAAAATTTAAATTTGACATCGCAAAAAAACATTTATTGTAGCTCTAAATGCATTGCAATTTTTTCTACGAAATGCTTTAGAAAGGAATAGAAAAACTTACGTTCATATATGACGCTCATGCTGCAAACTGCAAGTTCTTCGACTTCATAGAAAACGCAGAAGCAATAAAATTAGTTTACACAGACTCGAATACCGATAATTTGCACTTTCACTTCCCTATTTAATTAAACTACGCACAAAAACTCAAATATTAAAATGGAACTACGTTTGAACACCTCGTTATTTGAAGCAAATGGCGGCAGCTTACATGCGCTCCCTATTACCGGAAATAATAACTATAATATAATCTTCAAAAAATAAGTGGCGCCGTCTATTGTTAAAATTTTTAATTTTGCAAGAAAAGAAATATATATATAATTTAAATAATTAGTCACAACGATTAAATAATAACCCCTATCTACCGTATTTACATGTTAAACACCGCAAGTAAAATTTTTGACGTACCTGGTATAGCGTCTATGTTATGAGTGACCTCTGGCGTCGCCCCTGTCTACCTTACATATATATATAACACTCCCCACTCCCGTAGCATAGCGCGGCAAATTACAAATGCTGCTGTTACCACAATAAATGATTTTTCCATTATATTAGCATACTTTTTATTAACTTTTGTACGCTCAGAATAAATTTAAGTTTCCATACATTTATATACATTTCGCAAATTAAACGTGTTACATCTAATTATTAATTTTCGACGTACAGCTATGTTAAAATTCTCATAATGCCTTTTTCAGGCAAGGGTCAGTATTATTACACGTAACATACTATTGATATACATTTAACTGTTAAATTATTAACAATTTTCAGTGAAATATTTATAACATTTAATAGCTGCGCAAAATTTTCTAGATGGAAGTTGGAGTATAATATTGACATTCAATATGAATTATTCGTAATGAACATTGCAATAAAAATGAGTAAGTGTTGAATATACAAAAGGACCATAATTTTCAGAAATTTGATGAAACTCAGTTTTCTATCTTGCAGTCTAATAAATACAGATTAACATATTTTCACGGTAAAATAATGTCGGCGTGTATTTTGTTTGGAATCATGAACATTTTATTGGTACTTGTGAATACCCTTTATTTCGATCGTGGAAAAGAGCAATTACATTTATTTTCATGGTCATGTACACGTGTATAAAGTAGATGTCTTTTATCAGAACGCGTGGGCAGCTGCTTATACTGAACAAGCAAAAGGCGAAGGAACTTTCAATCAGACACTTTTGTGCAGTTCATTCTGTGATCAATATTCGCTAATCGGTGCAATGATCCATCTGTTCTTCAAAGATCACAAGAACGATGATCAGATTCCAGTAATACTTTCGCAAAATAACATAAGCAACCTATGAATCCTCTTTTACCTCGAGGTCCTCTCTGCGTTAATTAATTTGCATTTAATTAACGTTCATATATTATGACAAATTACAGAACAAGAAGCTATCGCTGGTAATATTTGCCATAATCAGAGTAACTTTGATTAGCGAAAATTGATTTCACGTAATCTTTGATACGAAGGATAACAAACTCGAAACTCAAACAACCACAAAGTGCGATGCATCGTAGATAAGAAGATAAATGATATCGATGGCACATGTTTGCTTTTCACGTAGAAGGGACGATGTAAAAAGCTCGTTCGAGTAGCATTCACTCGCGAGTTCTCCTGTATAGCGTGATTTTACGACATAAATCATCGTTTCAGAAATAGTGATTTTCGCGATACCAGGAAATTGCTGAAACTTCCTACATTAAAACGCTTGAGAACGAGAATGGTGCAAGATTTTATTATTTATTTACCGTATATCGCTTACTTCGAGAAAATTGAAATTCAAATTACGTTTAAAGCACGAGTATTTCAATCGATAGATAAAGGAAGCAATTAACATTTTCGCGATGGTACACTCGCATCATTCTCAGAGTTTACTTAGAGAGCTGGCTAAGATTGGACGTGATAGTATTTACTTATAAAGACGAGCTATTTTCTATAAAAGTTTACACGCAGAATGGTCGTGTCTTTGAACTTTGATTAACGTGCCCTTGACGAGGATTATAGTAATCTTAACATAAAGTTGTACAATTGAACGTTGCATCTTTATCGACTAGCATCGTAGACTTAATTAATAATCGCTTGAAGTCACGTCGAACTGGATATTAAACACATTTTTCGTGAAAATAATTCCATTCGAACGGTTGTACGAACGGTGTAGCATCATTGATGACTAGAATCGTAAGTTCAACTGAAGATCACTCGTACCTTGCCGAGATCCATAAGTCTCTTACAAATTTTAATTCCTTTACACGCGTACGAGATAATGAACTTCGTTGGACAACTTAAACGTAGATTTTTCCAAGTTAATTTGTTACAGAAATTATTTTCATAAAGGCGTTACGAAATTATGGATCTTGTCAACGTTAAGCGATATTCTTTGTTCCGTGAAATGTGAAAATTTGCAGAATTACATATCGCACGTGTTAGCAATGGGTCGCTAATTGAATCCATTTCAATCAGCGCTACTGACAATAACTTCACTCTGTCGAGAAACCTAATCCACGATAATTCCTCCTAACTCCCCCAAAATTGCTGGTTCGTGAATTTCCAGGGTTGAACATTGTTTTCTTAGTTTAATTAGCGCAGCAGGTTTCCACTTGTGCTATAAGGTTATCCCAAAATAGTTTCTGAACTTGATATATTGCACGGTAAACGTGTATAGGTACTAATTGCTTCGAAATCCCTACTCCTAGAATTCTATCTTCTCGTTTAGAAACGACTTTGACGTTCTAAATATTTATTTACACAGAGATATTGTCACTTTTAAGAGTGTATTATTTATTGCAAATTATTTTGACAATGATTCGTGACGTTTTCCTTTTTAAGACACTTTTTGTTTATATTCTTTCTTTTTCCTTCTTTTTCTGTTTTAATTTACTAGTAGATTATTCGAAGGAGGTAGAAAAATATAGAGATTCGCGTAGAAAAATAAACGTGATTACATCGGGATCTGTTGCACGTGATAGTCTATTCCTTGTGGTCAGAAATATTCGGTTGTCAGATATTCGAGCACAATTCTGATGGCAGAATTAGAAGCTTAGATCTCCAACGAGTACTAATACTAATACTAATACCGTGCTATAATCAGTACTAGTATTAATACCGTATTTCGCGAATATTTGTTCCTCTAGAATTTTGTCTACGTTAAATCGATTACTTCATTTTGGCAGAAATTCCACGAGAGATGCAAATTTTATGTTCGATGGTCCCGGTCATTAACGATATCCTAGATTTCGATATTCCAAGGTAATACAAAAATATCATCTGTCGATTAATTTATCTTCTATCCTGTTTTTCCGAAATGTTCAACACGGGGCAGCCTTTCGATTACATCGATTGCTCGAACCACATGGGAGAGCCGGAGGATTCGATATCGAGGTGCATTTGCGTTCTGTCTTTTAATAAATAACCAATGACGAACCGAATCGAACGCGAAGGAAACACGGTTAATCGCCCTCCGGCCAATGAAAGGTAAATAAAATCGAAACCACCGTGCAAACGCACCGATATCGAACTTCTCGATTCACTTGGTCGACAATTCTCGAAATACTTGCTATTCCCGACAATCGTTCGAACGATTGTCTTCGCGCGTTTCTTCGCCTACGATGCGCAGTACGTTCGCGTCTTTTACCTTCGTCAAATTCATTTTCACGGATCACATATTTCCTCTCGCACAGGCGACAGTCTCTAACAACGCACGCATCGTTCGATCAATTAAGAAGTGACGATCAAGCCAATCAACGACCGATAATTGTCGGCTCGTCGGCCATCGCGATCTCTTCCGTAGGTGCCTTGTCCCTCTTCCGCTTCCTGGAGAACAGCATGAAGGCACAGCCTGCGAGCAGGTTGCAGAGGAACACGATCCAGGCCAGGATCAAAGAAAAATCGTACCTCAGGATCCCATGCCTCGGGAACGTTGAATGGAAGTGTTCTCTCTCGAACTCGATCGAGGACAAGAGCACTTGTATCACCACCATGTTGCATGCGCCTGTAACGTGAAAGCGAACAATGGCTCGTGAACGTTATACCAAATATGTAACTTTCGATACAAACTGTGGAAACATATTTTAAAGACGAGAATAACAATATGCATTCGGAATAAAACTCCTAAAATAATAAAGAATATCTGGAAAGAAAAATGGCAGAGGAAATACTCGCAAAGAATTAATGGACTTATTATAATATAAATATAAAAGGTTATTATAAATATTATTATAAATATTATTTTAAATAATATCATAAAGGGTTATTATACTTACAAAAATCAAGCATATATAACTATTCTATAAAATAAGACATAATCAAGGAATTCATATTACAATTACGAAATTATGTTAATGCATACTGATTGTCCACGTTACGTAGAAAATTAAATTATACGGTTCTTTCGAACACAGTTCGTTGGATAATCCTTATCAGCATAGAATACAAATAAAAATAATATTATAAAATGCTATTATACTTACAAAAATCAAGCATATATAACCATTCTATGAAACAAGACACAGTCAAGGAATTTATGTTACTATTACGAAATTAAGTTAATGTATACTAATTGTCCACGTTACGTAGAAAATTAAATTATACAGTTCTTTCGAACACAGTTCGTTGGATAATCCTTATCAGCATAGAATACAAATAAAAATAATATTATAAAATGCTATTATACTTACAAACATCAAGCATATATAACCATTCTATGAAACAAGACACAGTCAAGGAATTTATGTTACTATTACGAAATTAAGTTAATGCAACAATGATTGTCCGCGTTACGTAGAAAATTAAATTATACAGTTCTTTCGAACACAGTTCGTTGGATAACCTTTATCAGCAAGGAACACAAATACAAATGATATTATAAAGGGTTATTATACTTACAAAAATCAAGCATATAAAATCGTTCTATGAAACAAGACATAATCAAGGAATTTATATTACAATTACGAAATTAAGTTAATGCAACATTGATTGCCCACGTTACCTAGAAAATTAAATTATACAGTTCTTTCGAACACAGTTCGTTGGATAACCTTTATCAGCAAGGAACACAAATACAAATGATATTATAAAAGGTTATTATACTTACAAAAATCAAGCATACATAATCGTACTATAAAATAAGACATAATCATTGCGAAATTAAGTTAATGTATACTAATTGACCACGTTACGTAGAAAATTAAATTATACGGTTCTTTCGAACACAGTTCGTTGGATAATCTTTATCAGCAAAGAACACGTGTTCGAGGACTGAAAGACGAGAGTGTTAATCTTCGTACAGGCGCATGCGAAATGTAGGTTAAACGGAATTGAAGAAGCGACAGGTAGAACTGAGCAAAGCTGCATTAATCAGGCATCCATATCGCAATTAATTACCGCTAATGAAATGTATTCCACCGGCCAGTCGCTTGAACATGTATCGTGGATTGCGGAACGTGTAGATGGAGAAGAAAAAGCCCATTACCATCACAAACAGGCTGATTAACGCGAACGATACCTGCGTCCTCGAATAATCTGCAATTGATAAATTCGAGATGATCGTTGAGAAAGCCACGGTGCCCTCGCAAATTTCCTCATTCCGTAATCAATTTTGCTTATCTTTCCAATACGCTCAAGCGATAACGCTCTCATGCACGTGACTCTCCGAGGTAAGGCATTTTCTAAACAAACGTCTCCTGTGTATTTTGGGCAAACGTATTTTAAGGCAATGATTCCGCGGGCAAGAATTTCGAAAAACGAGAAAGATTGGCGGGAAAAATGGTACGAAAACGAGGGAAGACAGTTGGCTGGTAATTTGGCGTCACTTACTGACTACGGTGTTCAATCCTGGATTCAACTTGAACTGCTTGTCGCTCGGGAACATATCCTGCTTCGTGCACTCGTCTGAAAGAAGAAAAGAGAGAAAACGTGTGGTACATCGGATTAGGAATTAAATAGTCGCCTGATTAATGAAGACCATGGCCGTTGTTCGCGAGTGTGATTCATGAATCGGTGCAGGTTAAATCCCCGGTTTAACGCGATCATCCTATCCATCTTCATTTCTTCTCGCAGCCTCCATTTACTATTTTCTCATCCTGGTTATCTCTCTTTGCCTGGAACGCCTCATTCGTGTCTCGCGTCATGGTAAGTTATTTTTACGCGCAGCCTTTAAACGGAGCTGGAGAGACAATAAGACCGTGATCAATATTTATACCGCGTGATATTTAATCCTTCGATCATGCCGGGAAAATTTATCGGCTCGCTGGACGAGGTTCGTTGTCCCGTTCGTCGGGGATAATTGGAAATTTGCAGGAAATTTGGTGATTCGAGCCGGAGTTTACCCGACGAGATAAGAGTTAGGACACGTGTCATCTAAAAATATTAAACCCTATCGTTTGGTGCACGGTGGCGAGAGTACGAAGCCTCGAAAACGGTTAAAAATGAAGTAACGAGGGAAGTGATTGGTTCCCCGACAATTCGCGATGATATTACAGTTGTCTAATTTAGTGGCTCTGACGTATGCATGATGAAGCACACGTGTGGAACAGTGGACGTGACGTATGACAAGTGAGTGTAGGGCTACACACGCGGATTCTGACACAGCCATGATTAACTACAAAGAGCAGAAACTGGCTGTGTTAGTTGCAGCGTTATTCCTCTGTCTTTTGCAACTCCGATTGCTATAGCTGCTCTGGATCTATAATTGCTTTGTAAAAAGATGGAAGAAGGAATACTATGTGAATTGTCGTACGGGCAGAGTGACGGAAATATCACGTACACGTGTAAATAATATTTTTAATATGGTGAAATTCGGGAAATTATTGTACTTCTCATCTTTGGGAATTGCGATCGTGACAATTTCGTGACGAAAGAAAATTATAATAAAATCTCAAGTATAAGGGCAAATAATATTTTTATTATCGTGAAAATCTGGAAATTATTGTACTTCTCTTCTTTGGGAATCGCGATCGTGACAATTCCATGACGAAATAAAAATAAAATAAAATTTCAAATATAAGTGGAAATAATATTTTTATTAACGTGAAATTCGGGAAATTATTGTACTTCTCATCTTTGGGAATTGCGATCGTGACAATTTCGTGACGAAAGAAAATTATAATAAAATCTCAAGTATAAGGGCAAATAATATTTTTATTATCGTGAAAATCTGGAAATTATTGTACTTCTCTTCTTTGGGAATCGCGATCGTGACAATTCCATGACGAAATAAAAATAAAATAAAATTTCAAATATAAGTGGAAATAATATTTTTATTAACGTGAAATTCGGGAAATTATTGTACTTCTCATCTTTGGGAATTGCGATCGTGACAATTTCGTGACGAAAGAAAATTATAATAAAATCTCAAGTATAAGGGCAAATAATATTTTTATTATCGTGAAAATCTGGAAATTATTGTACTTCTCTTCTTTGGGAATCGCGATCGTGACAATTCCATGACGAAATAAAAATAAAATAAAATTTCAAATATAAGTGGAAATAATATTTTTATTAACGTGAAAATCGGGAAATTATTGTACTTCTTTTCTTTGGGAATCGCGATCGTGACAATTTCGTAAAAATTTCGTGACGAAAGGAAATTATAATAAAATCTCAAGTATAAGTGCAAATAATATTTTTATTAACCTGAAAATCGAGAAATTATTGTACTTCTCTTCTTTGGGAATCGCGATCGTGAAAATTTCATGACAATTTCGTGACAAAAGAAAATTATAGTAAAATTTCAAATACAACTGCAAATGATATTTTCATTAACGTGAAAATCGAGAAATTATTGTACTTCTTTTCTTTGGGAATCGCGATCGTGAAAATTTCGTGACAATTTCGTGACGAAAGGAAATTATAATAAAATCTCAAGTATAAATGCAAATAATATTTTTATTAACCTGAAAATCGGGAAATTATTGTACTTCTCTTCTTTGGGAATCGCGATCGTGAAAATTTCGTGACAATTTCGTGACAAAAGAAAATTATAGTAAAATTTCAAATACAACTGCAAATGATATTTTCATTAACGTGAAAATCAGGAAATTATTGTACTTCTCTTCTTTGGGAATCGCGACGGTAATAATTTCGTGACAAAAAGAAAACTATAGTAAAATTTCCAGTACAAGTGCAAATAATATTTTTATTAATGTGAAAATCGGGAAATTATTTTACTTTTCTTCTTTAGGAATCGCGATCGTGACAATTTCGTGACAAAAGGAAACTATAATAAAATCTCAAGTACCCGTGCAAATGATATTACTATTAAAATAACAATTCTATTCAGCTCCATAATTACCGTAATTGTTCCAGTAATAATTATTTTCCATCGAGACGTAGAACGATGGAAAAATAAATAAATAATCCTGCGAAGAAGATTGAAAGGAAGAGCGAGAAATGTTGAAAAGACAGGCAAACAACATTCCCAATAACGTAAGGGACGCAAAAGAAGAACGAAAACCGTAATTGTAAATTTTTGTTTAAAGTTCACCAGGCTAGTGCATGCGAGGCATAAGTAAACGTATAAATTAAGTACCAAGAGAGGTTTATAATCGCGTCTGGTTTATCGAGGCGTGGTAAATCTCTCGATGACATAGTGGATGAATATCCGCCTTCTTTAAGCAGAAGTGTAATAAATCAAAGTCTGCCGGGCAGCGCGGTGTGCGTATTGGTTTAGCCTGGTGTAAATGATGGAAACTGAACGCGAAAGAGGGCTACCCTAATCGTTCAACGCTGAAACAACGTACGCAAACGTTACGTACACTTCGTTGGACACGCACTATCCGCGTTGCAAGAGGTTCGTTTACCTGACGCAATACCCGATGCAATTTTATTCCGTTATCTCTATTTAAAGCACGCGAAAACAATGATTCGCTGTTCGCCCGTGCATCCCGTTATCAATATCGGTTATCGAACCCGCCTTTCTTGAAACAACGCCACTGACACACCGACAGCCGACGTCCCCTGTGCCGCTCTAAATCATTAACTCGATGAAGATGTAAAATATTCCAAAGCACGTTTCAAACGGGGTGCAACGTTGTCTCTGTCACGAGCTTGCTTGATCCTAAATCACGCGTAGTCCGTTTAATTATTGGGGAGGCATGGCAGTAGTCGAGCCAACTACAAAGCAAATACTTGGCTGCAGTGGGTTCACTGATTTTTATCAGCCACGACTGATCAAAATTAACCTTTAAACAGATTTGCTAGAGTGCCTTCGATTTTCATTTCATTTACCCTCGATGTCGGTTTTTGAATTTTGTATATTATAGGAAGATTTAACCTTTTCACTCCTGTGTTGGAACTCGGATTTCAACATACAATACGGGTTCTAGCAACAAGGCTACGTTGGAAAAATACAAGTCGACGGAGAGGAAATGCTGGGATTTCGCAAATTATGTAGGTGCTTATATATTGTTAGTTTTTGGTGGGGTGAAGATTGTGGATTTGGTTTTATTAGTGTGAAGTGCAAGTGGAAGATCTAGAATGCGTGGTGTTATACAGTTGCTATGGATCAGAGTCAATTTGTTATAAGGAATTTCAGTTTGTTATAAGAAGCGTGAGAGTGAACAATTATGATATAATAAATTTGTGTAAATTTATAATTTTATAATAAATATAAGATTGTTATACAACAAACTCACAAGGATGACCATTGGCCCTTAGTGAAAGTAGGAATGAGTCAGTTGTTTCTGGACCCTGGGTCTGCATTTATTAGCTAAGCCCTTCTAGTGACTAAGGGTGAACGAATCGTTCGTCATCCAACACCTGAATTATGAAAAGAGTAGCAAAAGCCTGTCCTGAATTAATTTAACAAATTAAATTGAATAATTTCTCCCTTATCCTAATAAATAGCAGGACATGTCAGAACAGTTGGATTGCGTTCAGAGGAAATTTTCTGAGCTCCAACAGTTTTGAAATCCATGGACGTTGTATCACATCCGCAGTCCAGCAGCCATGTTGACGTCATACAACGTCTGCAGGAGTGAATGGGTTAAACTTCGTACATGTAAATTAATTGTCTCGCGGATCCTCTAGCGGTTCCCCTCACTCTAATAAAAATATCGATATCCCATTTCGTTCCATCGACGTTTTTACGTCTCTCCAGGGACCGATCTTCCCGATACCACGCGAAGATAACACGGTGATAAAGGCATGCATCGTTCAAATTTCAACGTTTCGGCGGCGAGAAAAATATGAAAATATGAATTTTCGCATGGACTTTCTCTTATTTCAAAAATTAAGCACACTTACTGAAGGGGATCATCTCCGTGGAATTTTCGGAGTTTGGAGCCAGCCCTTCGACACAGCCTTTCCAGAGACCACTATGCCTGTAGATTAATCTTTTACCCTTAGACAGCCCTCCGAGGGGTAAACCTTCTTTATCCGGTGATTCGACCGTGAACCAATGATCGGTTCCAATGGCAACCAACCATATGCACACTGACAGGCCCACCAAGACAGTGCAACCAAGCAAAATTCGCCTTTCGAAGATAACCTGTGCAACACACGCGTGAAATATTTGTAGACTCCATTCAAGGTTATTTTTAATACTAAATCTACTACAGCTGAACAAATGACCGGCAGATGAAGAAATAAAATAAGAAAAACTTGAAAAAGTGGAAGACAAGAGATATTGTAAAATTAATTATACTCATATTAAAAGGAGATAAAGTGGAATGAGAAATTTTTAATTCAAAATATAAGAAGGATCGTTTGAGCCCTGGTTTAGGTTCAGTATTAACGCATTCGTTGAATTTCCGTCAGTCAGGTCTTCGTTTTAACTCTTTGTGACATGGTGGGATTAAATGTTTTGATGCACCGTAATGCATAGTAGGACATTTCTAATCCCACCTCGAATTATTTCAATAGCTGCATGTGCATAGGTTTATACATCGTCTTATTTACGCAAAGCAGTTTGTAATAATTCAATTAAATTATTATGAGTTCTTTATGTTTTTACACTATATGATTCCTTTATTGGTAAAAATATACCATTGTTTTATTTAAAAAGCAATAAAATTCCAGTGCAACATGGGTCTATTGTATTTTCTGAAATCCCGTGCTGTAAAGAGTTAAAAGGGAATTTTTATGACCATTCGTGTCGATAATCCGCAATAATTCGCAAAATGGGTCTATATTATTATTTTAGTATCTCCATTTTATTATCTTGTGCCACAAACAGTTAACCTTTGTAATACCTAGAGGGGTACAGACGTACCCCATCCGTCGTAAATATTTAATATACTCATATATCTCTCCAATTTATCTATTTGAACACCAACTAATATTTGGTACCAGAACAAGGTTCGAGTGGAGCTATCCTCCTGTTAGAGCTTAATTTCACATTTTTAATCGGGTATTATGAAAGTTAATTAACAAAGTTTGCCGCGATGCAATGCTCGCTATTCTTCCTCCCCTTTTAAGTCTTATAAAGCCCTCGAACACAAAGAAGAGCGCAACAGCTGCGTTAACGGAATTATTTAGATAATTAAGCCGACGAACCATATGCGTCAGCAGCAACGAGCGTATTAACGAATGAAATTTAATATTACGACGTTTCGTTTGGAGGAAACGAAAATCCTGCGAGAATCGCGGCGGAATTTCCGTGAACTGCTTCGTTAAAATTTCATCGCGCATGCAATGGATAAAAAGCTCGACAGGGGTGTAGAATTTCAAGTGGAAAAGAAGAGATCGGACGGGAAAACGGAAACGTAGGATGCTGTACCTGATTGTATAACGCTTTCATGCGGCTCGCCATTTTGTTCGATCCTTCGAATACCAGGAATTGCTATGCGGCAGATGCCAGCGATTCCACTTTTCCTTTGTGGCTCGACTTAATCACCCCGTGAAATTAGCGCGACACCATGCTGCACTCGCCGTGTTTCACAAAGCTGCATTCCTTATCGTGACGAAGAACTTTGATGGAACATGAATTTCCGATCATGGACTCGCCAACTCCGAACGATCGAATCAATCGCGATTCCAAGATTGTCATAGACCAGCGTGAAGCCAGCGCCGGATTCAATTTAAAGCTTTCCAAGTAATTCTAATCGCTAACGAGCTAGCCTGTTCTCGTTCACGATAATTCGGAATCGTCGAAAATTCGTTCGAATTCACTCCGACATTTGTATCAAGCTCTCCTATACTCGCGCACGTGATTGCTCCCGTTGGTCCAGGATTTACGCTTTTTTAGAATTACGATTTCATTTGCGAACCCATGGCGATTCTTTCTTTTCATTAAAACCTCATTAACGCAGTTCACGTGGAAATGTTGGGGAAACGTTTTAATGGAAAAATATGCGTTTGCTTTCTACGTGCTTCAGAAGCAAATAGAAAATTCTCCAAAGCTTTCCACTTCTCTGCTTTCCTCCTCTTTAATGCTCAAACATCTTCGTTATTTCTCTCAGACATCCGTTTCGATCGTTCTTTACATTCTTTTCGGTAATATTCCACTCGGTGGCTTCCATTTCCTTTCTTCCGTGCTATAGTTCCACGATTACGATTGTCTACGATTCTCTGTGTTCTTCCACGAACTTTCCTCCACGGGATTATCCTTTGTTCCCTTCTCCGCTAGTTCGCCGATTTTCCAAACGCTCCTTGGCAACACCTGCAAGACAAATACACGAATTCGTGACAAATCGAAAAACAACGAGTACAAGAAAGTAAATTTCGGTGCTTTGCCAGATAACACCAAACGCGTATGTATCTTTTCGAGTAAGCGATAAACGTTTGGCATGAATTCCGACTAACCGCGTGGCTCTTGGCTCCCTTTGTCGCGATTAGCGTGTCATTAATCTGCGTACTGAGTGATTAGCAACTGCGAATCGATCGAACTAGACATAGCATAATATTACTTGTTTATCACTGTTTGTTAGAACACATCCGCGAATTAAATGCAGATTGGGAAAAAGGAATTTCAAATTTGTTAAGCATCGCTTGTACAGCATGCATCGCGTGACAGTATCGCAAAACGAAAACAAATGTAAATGGGAAATTTAATATTAACACATTGACAGCTATGATGGTCATCAGTGACACGCGCTTGTCTCTTCAGTGGAACCATGTGGGTCACCAGTGTCCGTCGATATTAATTTTTTTAATTTATATTTATTTTACATAGAAAATATTAATAATTTCCACCATCTTCTTTTGCCATATTATTTGATAATTCATTATATCGTAAGAATAATGGAAATTTTATCGTGACCGCCTAAGAGTAATATAAAAGTGCGTGACAGTCAAAGTATTAAGGATAATTAGGAAAATGAGTTTAAAATTTTTAAAAATTTGAATTTGAAAAGTTGCAATATTTCCGGAACCCGAAACGACGATCTTTATTTATGGGAAGAGTATTTTGCTTCGAAGAGCAAAGCTCGAAAGATGATTGGAAGAACGATGACATATTTTTTCTTGGCAAAATTTCGAGAATCTCGAGAATTTGGAGTCCCGAGCGAGGTGTAAGGTTTCGAATGGTGGAAACTCGAAACATTCTCGGTTTCTCGAAGCCGGTCTCTAGCCGAGCACAATGGCTACATGAATCAAGCATCCTCTAAGCGGACAAAGACGAGTAGACAGGCAAGAAGCGAAGGAGCCGGGAGTGTCTTATTTTGAAGGCGACAAAGAAGAAACACGACGAGAGAGATATACACGGGCGTAAGTATGTGCCTGAAATAATTTGGCAAGAGTGAAACCTTCTGCCGAAACGTGTCATAATTTCATTCCATTCGGCTTTACTACAAGGCTACGGCGCATCAACGTCGCCTCGTAGAAGCCAAATTAAATAATGCACCATGCCAAGCGTAGAATTTCCCTGTCATGTACCACTGGATCACGGGATTAAGAATAATTCGAAGGGAAAATAAGGTGAAAGAGGAGGACAATCGTTCTAAGTGACTCGCGCAATCGGAGCTGGATTCATTCGTTTGACAACGGATTCACTTTGATACCCTGTCCTGACAAAGCGATTTCTTCCATCTGATCGATCGCTTCGCACCTCTCGCAGTTGTAATTGAACGTAAAATATCCGAGCAGTTAGCAACCCTGGCATTAATCATAACGCAGGGGACCGAGCTCTAGACCCGAGAGCGTGATTGACAGCGATACGCGACGTGCCCGTGTCATCTCTTCATCCACTTGCATCGGAATAATTTCAGCGATATCGCAGAGCACCGCGAGAAGCTATTGATCTTCAAGTGTAATCGTGCAACTCGTGAATCATATTATCGCGTTACGAAGAAAGAGCGAACGGCACGAGGCTGAGGACTCTCGGGACGGAGACTGTTTGCAGAGGGAAAAATAAAAGGCCGAGAGCAGAAAGGAAAACTCTGGAACCATGACGACTGGCTGTATCAAAGGATAACGACTCGAGGCAACTTTCCTTCAGCCTCTGTTCAGTTGCCTCCGGGTAAATGAACTAAACGATAAGCTTTGACAGCTCGTAGCTCGTAAACGTGCAGATGGGCATGTCGATACACGCGAGAACCGATACTTAATTAAAGCGTGACGTGGAAACGGGACATGATTGCTTAACGATTGACATCGATACCGATGACATTGACATAATCGTCCCGAGGAGATATTCGAGCAGGAAAGACACACCGTCGATTCCTCGAATATGCGAATGACGCGTGTGTATCGACGAAAGGGTTCGATTTAGAACGAAAATAGAGGAGCCGCGGGGCTAGATCTCGTGAATAAAAGTTGGAGATTATAAAGTAGAAGATTTACGCGTTTCTTTTTATATTTTCCCGGTTAATCGCTGCGTATTCGTGAGACGTGGATCGTGCACACAGAGAAAATAGACCGTTGGGAAACTTCGGGTCGAAACGTTTAGACGTCGACCAGAAACGGGGCATAAATTTGGCAAGACAACATCCACTGACAGACGTCTCATTGTGGATCGAACATTTACTCCAATCTGTTTCGCAATATTTCGATTCGACGCCTGCATCATGGTCGGACAATGTGCTGATTATAGTTTTCCAAACAATTAACTCGTAGCAATTTTGGCACGGCTTACGAAGCGCGAGCGGGGTACATATTTAAATTCGGTTAATAAACGTTTAACGTATCCTGCGTGTTTACGTGTATGTATAGAGTGTTCGATATATTTGAAACAAAAATAGACAAAAGAGACGCATCGCGAATTTAACACATCGTATCTGCGCTCGTCGTTGTGCGCTGACTCATGTTGGCTTTCAGGTAAATAAATATTGATAATCGTTACATAAATGAAACGTTGTGCAAATAATACACACGAGCGAAGCGTGCTAATATTTCTGTTAAAAAAGATGCTACTTTGCGTCGCTGTTTACTCCAAACCCCATTTACCATATATTAATTTAATAAAAATGCGAAATCTGTAATGCGAAATTCGTTTGGAGGGGTTGAAAACGTATTATATATCGAATTTCGAATGCTCGCAGAAATTTGTATTCGCTTGGCGAGATATTTTTTAATTACACGCGAGGGACATTTTTATTTCGCCATCGATTGCAATTTTAATGAAATTTGTGGTCCCGCTGCCCCGACTCGTCTGACACGGTATACGCCTATTTCACTGAGACAAATTGCGTTTCGATGAAAAATGGTACGACGAAGGAATACCTCTCTTACGAGTGCACAAAGGGATGAAATTAAATCAACATGGAAAATACGCTGGAGCAATTTCTCATACGCGAAACCCCCGACGGAATAAAGCTGGCAGAAAAACCCCTCGTTTCGCGGGGATCGAATATCGTTTAAAATTGCGGAAAAATGTTGCTCGTAAGAAACCGCGTAATTTTATCGCAACCGATATCGAGATAAAAATAACGCGAGACGATAGGGGTGGAAGAGGCAACTGCAGAGTCCGCTGAAAAGGTTAATCAACCTTCGAGTAGTTGCTCGAACAGGTTTCGCCGATAAATTATTATATCGTCGAAAGATGCAAATGTCAGCTCGTGTTTCAGATTTAACGGCATTTATTAGCTACGAGGCGATCGAAATATGACGTGAATGAAACTAGCAGCGGAGGAACGATCACCGAAAGTATCTTAAAGCCCCCGAGTTTGCCGATGGACGTGTTTATCATAGCCCAGATGCAGGCGCGAATTTACGAGACTTCGCGAACGTGAAAAACGATCCTCACGATCAACCTGTGTACACGAATTACTATATACAAATACGTCACAAAGAGCGCGATCATACCGGTGATGCAATACGTATTCCATTTCTCGAACGAACCGTTTCATCGATGTTCCCCCACTAGCTATATTTAACATTTTACCCAAAGCGTGCTGGTAAATGGGAAAACTCGAATTTTTCCCTCCACGATTGCCAAGTTTCGTTCGTGAACGGTGTTTTCCACTAACCCGATTAAAATGGCGCCGAGGAGGACAAAGAGCCGTACGTGATAATGGTATCTGGGCGTAGAGTAAAATTTTGACGCGGTTAAAAGATGTCTTTGCGCGTTCAAAGCCGGCAGGTGTTTCGTGAAAATCGGAAATAACGAAATTAATAAAGCAATTGCGGAGAAGCGTACAGGGGGGGTATATCGAAGACATAGAAAGTTCCATCGGACGGAGGAATTACCGGCATTTGGCCTAGTTTTTCGCGAAACACGTTCCCTTTTTCTCCCCTTTCACGGAGCATTAATGAACGTGGTCTTTCGCTCTGACATGAAAGAGCACCGTCGCGGCGAACGTTGCTAATAATTTCATTCTCTCCACCTCCGAGCGATTTTAAAACGAATTAACCTTATTTCCGTCCGGCTGCGTAGCTTTCACTCGTGAAACGAGAGCTGGTTTTGGCTACGAAATTAGAACCTCTGTTTAGCTGATTAATTTTACAACCGAGTAAAAGACCGCGGTTCGACTGACCGGGAAAAGCTGATAGCCTAAAAATACGACAATGTTGAGTCAAGCCGCGGATGCGTTCGATCCGATGCCGTTCGAGGATATATACGAGACGGAATAGCGGGTTCCAATGCGTACAATTTCAATCAAGTTCGCTGAAATTATTTTCGTGAGAATGCACAGTGAACGTCGAAGAGAAATTGACAGCGAGAACGCCAGTGTTGGCATTAATTGTCAAAATTTGTCACGGATCGATCCGACATCGTTCGAGGATATATACCAGACGAGCAGGGTGTTTCGATGCAAAAGATTTCGAACAAGTTCGATGAAAGAAATTGCACGAGAATGCACAGTGAACGTCGAAGAAAAATTGACAACGAGACTGTCAGTGTTGGCATTAATTGTCAAAATCTGTCGCCGATGCGTTTGAGGATACATACGAGAAGAACAGGGTGTTCCAATGCGAACGATTTCGATCAAGTTCACTGAAACTATTTTCATCAGAATGCACAGTGAACGTCGAAGAGAAATTGACAACGAGACCGTCAGTGTTGGCATTAATTGTCAAAATCTGACGCGGATGCTTTCGATCCGGTGCCACTCGAGGATATGTACGAGACGAGCACAGTGTTCCAAAGCAAACGATTTCGATTAAGTTCACTGAAATTACTTTTATCAGAATGCACAGTGATCGTCGAAGAGTAATTGACAGCGGAACTGTCAATATTTGCATTAATCGTGAAAATTTGTCGCGGATGCGTTCGAGGATATA